ATAAGAGGATGTTCAGAAGTCTATTTTATATATTTTAATCTGAAACTTATAATTTGTATGCATAATAGCAATGGTTAAATCTTATATTGTATTTACTTTGTGCCTGCCATCATTCAAAGTATATGACCTATATTTAACTCATAATAATTCTGTGTGGTGGGTTACATCATAATTCGCTGATTCTGAGAAGCATTGATTGTAAAATGCACCATTTTCTTGTTAGTTGAACTCTGGAATGTGATCTCTATTTTATGAATGACAATTTTGAAATGGAGATTTAGCAACTTGCCCATGCAGGCTGGTACTAATAATGGTTGAGCCAGTAGGCACACTAGGCAGCGTGATGTCAGGGTTCATGGCCATGACCAAGGTGCCATCTTGCCACCCAGTCAATGAGAGTCTTACATATGGGCTAGTTCTACATTTCTCAGTTCATCCCGGCAGAGCTCAGAGGGTTTGTAGAAGGACAGGATCATGCCACGCACTTGACCATAACCATTTGACAGGAAAATGTAAAATTGCCTTTATGGTAAAATAATCTATCATCTAAAGTAAACATGGATACGTTAAATTGTAGCATGCAAAAATGTATCCAAAGTTGTAGAACCTAAGACATGATTACTGTTCAGATCCTGTGTCTCCTATTTTCTGAATGCCTTACTTCATGGGCAGGAGTACGACAAAGGAAAATTTGTAGAAGCACTGAGAGCTGTAGGTGCCTCTTGTTTTTATAAAGGGTTGGGGGAAATGCTATGTTCATTCTTCTGGGTATTGGAGAATTGAATGGCTTAAAAGGAGAAGGAACTCTATCCACTTTCTCTACCTCTTGTAAGCTGACTCTTCAAGTTGTCAGTAGGACCAAAGTTGATCAGAATAAGAAAACTGGTTAATGTTTAAACTAATAGACAAAGGCTTGTTATACCAGATCATATCACAGAGAAAACTGAAAATGTTCAGGTATTTGGTGAAAAGGCTTAGATGTGAACAGATGGTGACAAATAAAAATTATTCCAGTACAGAGAGTAGACACTAAATTCAGGTTTCATGGGCGTTAATCCCACACCTGCCACTCACTAGCATGGTGTCCATGGTCAAGTTACCTGAAATGGCCTTCACGTCCTAACCTGTGAAGTGGAAGTAAGATGGTATATATATTGCAGACAGTGAAGTCAAAGCAATAATGCAACTATCATATTTAGCACAATGCTAAGCACTTAGCCAACAAATAAATATCATTTACATTCAAATAGTCATCAACCACGGGTGAATATATAATTTTTTAAACAGTTGGTTATTCTTAATGTCATCAAGTGTGCTGGACATGATACAATTGATTGCTTAGGGCTAACAATCATTACTGTTACTTTGTTTTATGCTTGCTCATTTATTTTGACAATGCTTTTTTTTTAACCCTTAACCGTATAATTTTACACAAACATTTGTTTATATCATGCAAGGTACTTACAACTGATTTTTGCTAGGGACTTCTCAAGCTCTGAATGCCCTCTTCATCCTGCATTTTGCTAACTAGTTATCATAAGTTCTGCTTGAACTAGAGAACTTACTTGCTAGGAGACATCAGTATTGTCCCTATTTATAAGGTAAAGCCTTAGCACCTTCTCCGGACATAGAGATCCTCTGGGATCTGACCCACCCTTGTCTTTCTGAGCTCCATCCTCCCATCACCACTCAGGGCACTTCACTCCATCAGCTAACTCCTGCACATGGGATGCTCGTCCCTCCCTTGGGCCTTTGCTCTTGCCTTTCCCCTGAGCGGGTTACCTCTTGCCAGTCTGCCAAACTACACCTTCCTGTTAGAGTGTGTACAAAGGTGCTCCTGAAACATGCATTGTTTTCTTGCACCAGGAGTGGGATTGTCATGAGCTGCATTTTAATTTCCCTTTCCCTACTATTTGCATTAATTAACTTCATCAGCTCAGTTCTTGATTCCAAAATATTCACACTTCTTTATATCATCCATAACACCTTTGCAGATAACAGTCTCTCAAGAAATATTTTTGACTGTTGAATAAACAAATGAGTGAAAACACCTGTTGATGTTTCCGCATCAGTGACTTGCATTTAGTTAAGGTGCCTGTGATAGTTTGGAAATCATGGCGGAAAAAGTAAGTTTTCAAGTTGTGTTCCTGACATTAGTTACTGTCTCTATAAATGTGAGAGCTACCATACTCTCAGAATTTCTGGTTAGGCCATTCAGAGAGGGCCTATGTCACAGAGAAGTGGGGTGCTATATACATTCATTTGAAATAAACTCATTGACGAATTTGCTCATTATTTCCAAAACTATCAGCCCAGCTACTTCTATGCCAGTCATGTTTTAAGATTAGACATACAAAAGTAAAAATAATATATGATCATTGCTGCAAATGTTTTAGAGAATAATGGAAGAACAAAGAATGCAAACATTCATCTGGCACTGGGACCTGTTCGGGCCTTCCAGATTTAACCCTCAGAGCAGTAAGCCCCAGGGTGACAGCCACATGATGAGCTAGCTCAGCGGGTGGGGAAATTAGTGAGCATTTAATGGCACATGGAGCCCATCCAGAACCCAGCTGTGGCACCCCAGCGCTGTCACGGAGGCTTCCTCTGAAGTCCAGGGAAGAGAAATGGCAAATCTCTGTGAGTTCTCCGTCCGCACTACCAAGGACGGGGCAGAGGCCGTTTTTGTCCCTTGGGTTTTGGCCTGAGGGGCACTTCAATAATTGTCAGAAAATTGTCTTTTACACTCTTACAAAAGGTGATGGGTAGACTTTGTCTTCACACCAAACATCCTAGCACCACTAGGAGCTGGAGAAAGTGGTCAGAAACCAGGGAAGTTTGCAGCAGTGAAGAGGTTTCTTCCACCTCCCTGCGGAGCTCAGAGTAACAGATCCACACCCCCAGGCTCTCTCTAGGATGCTCCGGGCCAAAGGGCAATTCAGGATAAACCTGGGTATGATCTACTCTGCGGACACCCGCCCTGCTCCTTGCCCTCTCCCTCGGGTTTGACATGGGAGGACAGGTGTCAAACCCATTTTCTTTCTATTGTCTTCAAGAAAATTCACTTTCTCTGGGCCCACATCTCAAGGAAATCACTCCTCCTCTTCAGAAACCAGGCATTCAGACAGGACAGTGTTGTAGACCGCTCTGCCTAGTTTTAGGAATTGTATCTCTACCCCTTGTAGCTAAGGGTGAGAGATGAACTCTGGATTGCCAGCCACAGGAGACAAAGCCTGTCTCTGGTAGCAAACGCTGCCTCAGTTCCTCTTCCTGACCCCAGAGCTTGGTCAGAAGTCAATGATGGTTAAGACCCCTCACAGTGGGGGACAACCTAAGCCAGACTCGATCACTTCGGAGGCCTTCATGGAAGGACTTGGGGGGCTGCAACAAAGAGCAATGGACTCTCTCCCCCCAGCTTTGTCAAAGCCCGAGTCCCCATGTCCTCTGGGAGAAGCGCTTCCTGGCTCTAATACCCTTAAGCCTGAGGGGAGAGGTGCACCTCCTTGCCTGGCCAGAACGTGCCCTGGGAAAAATCTGGCATCACAAAGACTTGCTGATAAACCTGTGAAATCTGCTCTGCTAAGAGTGCTTTCATTCATATGATAAGGGTCTGAGAGGAAATGAGTATGTCTCCCAAAGTTTCTGCAACTCTCTTCCTGACAGACACTCACTCAGACTGAAACCCTCAGACCTCTTTGAAATATCATCTACTGTTTGATCCTTGCCGCCCTGTATTCCTGTGTATTACAACCCAATAAAAGGCTATGGAAGAGGGCGCTTGGGGCCTGTTTCTCCTTGAAGAAACCGGCCGCTGCTGGCCTCTCTCTCCCCTGAGAAACTGGCCACAGCCCACTCCTCCATCCCCAAACAGATCTCATCTTGTCTCAGCCATATTTACTCATTCACATGTGTCCGTGGCACCGCGGAGGACTCTCCCGAAGTAGTGGCCCCCACAGGACAGGAAGCAGAGTTACTTGTCAACCAAGGACAGCAGCTTTGCCCTCAAAGCTCCTGGGCATACGGTGGCTGAGTTACTTCTCCTGGATGGAGTGTGTAATGGTGTTGCCCGGACATGTCAGGGCATCAGCTCAGGCTCCAGTCAGGAACAGACTCTCCTTGCCAAGAAAGCTTTCCACCCTCAGACCAGCACTTTGAGCAGATCAAGGCGGAGAGAACACCAGAGCAAATGTGGGCTCCCATGGCCTGGGAGAGATTGGCACAGAAAGACACCACCATGCTGGTATTTTCATTAACAAAGATGCGGCTGGCATCTGGCAGAACCGAATGAGGGAAAGCACAGTGTTTCATAGGAATTACATATAAAAACTAAACTTACAGGCAACATTTTGAGAAATAGACTGAGACTCAGCAATAACTGTTCTGAAGCAGCAAAAGCCTTGAAATGAGAAAATGATGTCTCAGAATAGACAATAGTGTGTAAGCCTTGGAAGAATACCCAGAGGCTATCCCCATGGAATTTGCACTGAAAAGAGGATTATCGCCAATGTAGGGGCGAGGAAGCCAAAGCTGGATGTCCAGAACTTAACAATACTCAGATGCAGAAACATGGGTGGTACCAATGATATTCCATGCTCTCTATGTCTGTGTTCAGACATCCTCAGATATGCCATTATTTTCAATAATTATTATGACTAATTTTTATTATTGGCTATGTTCCCAAAATTCTATGCTAAAAAATAATTCTTCAAATACATAGCCATGGCTATTAAAATCAGAAGCTTCATGTCCATATTGGACCAAAAAGGTGTTCATTTAAACTAAGAATTTAATTCTATCAGATGTGGTCCACATTATTTATGCATGCAGTTATTTTTAAAAGTACCCTCCCTGAACTGTAACATAGTATAGCTGAAGAAGCATGGGAATTGGGAATGAAGGTGAGACCTAGAAGCACATGGTTAGCCTACTCAGCAATTCATTAACCTCCATTTTTTTGCCCCACCCAAGACACAGGCCACCAAAGATAAACACCAAATGCATAACTGATCCTTTAATTTTTATTGCTTTAACATAGACAGTGTATCAATTGAGCAAAATATTAATAAACTACAGAGTGACATGAGTTGAAATAAAATATTGTTTCAAATAATGGAACTTCACAAGAAACCCAGTGGTACATGTATGAAATAAATCAATTGTGACTATACCAAAAAGAAAATCTCATTAATTCAGTGAAACACAAAAGGCATGCAAAATCTCAAGGAGATACAGGGGCTTCTATGTCAATGTCATGAGGCTATTAAACAGTTTGTCCTATTCCTGGATAAATGATTCATTTATATTAATTGCATTAAAAATCATGAAGATCTACAAATGTTTTTGCTAAAGGTTATCTGTAGCCAAACCGTGTAACCGCTTTGAATTGGCTCTTCTGGCGCTGGGCCCACTACTGTGTTCACTCAGCCCACCTGCCTCTGCACAGCGGGTGTGGCGTGCGAAGCAAGATGGTCTGAAACTTTTGGGTGCCACCACGCTTAAGCTCTCAGGAGATATTGTGGCAGTAAACGTGACTATTACCAACTGGTTACTTTGATTTCATCTCAGACGTAGTTTAAATCTGCTCTCATCCTGAATTACACTGTGCATATAGCCTTCAGAAATGTCACTAAGTTTGTCAAAATTATTGCTTATAAAAGGACAAAAATTAAATGATTATTTTATTTTTGGTAAGTCAGTAAAAACATAATCAAAATGGAAAGCAGGGGCATCTAGAAAATCTTTCATGAGAATTTTTGATTTATACTTAATCACCTCACTTGCCCAAGACAATTTTGTTTTAAGTCCCAACTATCAGGTACTCAGTTGGGCATCATATACGTCTGCTTCTGTCTTCAGGAACCTGTTAGTCATGGACACAGAGGGAAAATCATTATGCTGTCATTCAGGCCCAATGAAATTTTCTTTGGAGGGACTATCCCACACAAGGAAGTTTTTCAGAACCAGTTGGAAACACAGCTTAACCCTGCAAGACAGTTGCTCAAATTATCGTATTTATGTCCTCACAGGAATATTGTACACCAACCCAAAGAATACAGAGTCATGATGGCATAATTTGGCAAACCGTGGTACACTCCCAACAGTATTTTTTAAATGCATTTTATGCTTAAAGCCTTAGGAAGGGGGAAAGTTCTGTTTAGCGGAGAGCATAAACTAACACCTCAGACTTGCCTCTTCCCTTTTTTACTAAACACTCTAGTGCACATTTACTGTTAGAAGCTCAGGTCCAGGAAACCTGCCAGTCTAAGCTAGACTCTCAGCAAGTGACAGGTGAATGACATAGACCCTCACAGAGAGGTTCTGATGGTTCACAGAAATGGGAAACTGATAGGACTTGTTGATGGTTCAGCTGGGGTTGCGTAAGACTTGGCTGTTGGAATAGGAAGCCAAAGTTATCTGCAGGCTTTTGAACTATTGAATTTTAATTTATTAACACAAGTCTTTAAAAATTTTAAAGAGATGCTATAGGCCTTCAAGATAAAATATCTGGTATAAAAAATAAGTATTCTTAAACATGCACGAAAATGAAAACTTTAGAACTAGAAAATATCTGGTTGGTAATGAAATCACAGGGACCACTCTGTTAATATCATTTAAGTGGCTTTTGTATATCTTACATTTAAGAGATTTTTAAAGAGATGTTAGAAATCTGAGCCTTTTTCAAAGAGAATTTTCTGCTTTAGAGCTTTCTTTTCTTACAATTGTACAGGCAGCGCTATGAAGACCAATGCATTTACTTGCAAACAAGTAAATGCATTCTCAGCTTGAGGATGACCTGAGGCTCCACTGTCAGAGAGATCAGATAGTCACTCAACTCCCCAGGCCCGAGATAGAGCAGCATGGCCAGCAATGTGGGCAAGAAGAATCTCGCCTTTGGTGGGCTCTAAGAAGATCATACACATTTAAAGGACTATATTTACCTGTAGTTAGGCACACACCACCTACATTTGTGATTTCCATAAAGAAGGGAACATGTGTGCCATGGTTTGAGTCAGTTTGGAATGCAAAGAAACTTGAAAGTATTACAGTAATCCTTGGTCATAAATTTAACCACATAAACACACATTAGTAATACGAAAGGAAATAAATGATATTAACAAATGTTTTTCACCAATCAATGCTAAGGATGGGTTGAAACATGCATTTTCATTATGTTTTTCTCCTCTCTGGACTAAAAGCAATTTGGTAAAGTTTTTATCTTACTTCAGATCACATAGATGAAATATTCACTCATATGTCTGATGCTCTACATTCAATTATCAGGGGTAAAAAATACGCAGCTAGTTATGTATGTACTTGCCTTTTATGTGCTTTGAATCATGTAGGTATGGATTAATGTCATTTTTTTAAGTTTTAATCTTTACTATTACATAGGAAGCCAGCCATCATCTGAAATTTGTCTCTTATTTTCAACTGAAAAAACAATCTCATTTTTCCAGGATGATGTGCTGACTCTTGAGTACAACAAACTCATTTTTAGAACCAGTGAATTTTTGAGCAAGATTTTTTATCCTGTTTAAGCCTCCTTGTCCTCATCAATGAATGGAGCTAATAGTGTTCACCCCATAGGGTTACTGAGAGATTTTAGTAAGGTAAGAGCATCTAACTCACAGCTGGCACATGCGGGCAAGGATCACTCTTGGTCTTGTTACCTGTTGTACCCTAAGAACCTATAGCCATGCCTGGACCATCGTAGTTGTTCAATAAATATTCACTAAATATATGAGTGTGTGACTAGCCTGACTAGCTCTGACACTGGGAAAAATCACCCTTTATCAGTCTAGAAAACTGGCTGAATTTCCATTTCTCATCTTGCAAACGATATCACTAAATCATTCTCAACTGTTACAGAATTTGTCCTTCTGCCTCCAACATGACTCCATACAAACCACCAAAGACAAGCGCCGTATCCTCAACCTCTTAAACTCTTCCTTATCCTTAAGCTCGTCCTCGGGAGGAGGCTGCCTAGTCTTCACACAACCAAAACTTTTCCTTCCTCTGGCTAAAATAATTATCTGCTTTGGCAATTACCTTTCTTATTCCCCCCTACCTCTGTCACTTTCATATCCATGTTTCTTTAGAAGTGCTCTGTACTTACTGCTTTCTCTCCAACTTGTCAAATTCATTTTGAAAGTCAATCCCTGTGTTGGTTCTCATAAAGCTACGGGGACCAAAAGCCAGCCTGCAGCCATGAGCATCTCATCCTGGGATCTGGGTGAAGGCCAGCCCTGCAAACTGTCACTGTAGCAGGTTCCTGGTGAGGTTGGGCTCCATTTGGAAATCGTGTTCAGTTGGTATGAGTGATCTTCTTTTGGAGTGTTCAATGATAGTTCCTATCTTTCCTGCTGGGTGGTAAAAAAATATTCACATGGAAAAATGACTAGTGCTGTAAACTATTATTTCTTTTGCCTGAGGAGAAAATATCTTTGTTCATGCGACTTGGTTAAAAATGACAAAAATAATTTAAAAATTTAACTCTTCTCCCTCTCATTTAGATGTCTAGGATAATGTCACAACCTTAATAAGGACATATTTTTTGGCATATAATTGATTTTAATGACACCCACATTTTCTTTCCTGGTAGAAACCAAGGGTCAAAATAAAAACTCAAAACTATTTTGTGTGTAGATGCTTCTGTCATTAAGCCTGGCTTGTTTATTTGGTAGTAACTTGTAAAATACTAATACTGAAGATATCATAATGATATGGGCAAAGAGTAATGACAAAAGAAATTCCATCAGGTTTTCATCTGAATAAGTGTGGATTCCTGGAATGTGACATATGGGTAAAAATGATATACAAATAAAAGTTCCCAAGTTGCAGAAAATTTGAAGTTTGCTTAAAAAGAATTATTAAAATAATATGCAGGTTACAATCTTTTACCTGGGTACCCCTAAATTTCTGATCAAGTCAGACAGAAATATTTCTGACTTTCCCAAAGGAAAAAATAGCTATTTGATTCCTAAATATGCAATAGGCAGGTTGGTTGACAGAAGACAAGCTGACAAAAGAAAGCACGGATTTCATTCAACTTGATATTCTGATACCTGCTTTGCTTACCTGAAGAATTGCTTAAAATGATACTGAAACAAGCTGGCAATTCTGTAAGGAGTTTGGCAAAGAATGACAAATATCGCAAGGAAAAGTTTTAGATTTCATTCCACTCGTTCTGCCACTACTATACAGAAACCCGTATCCATGGGAACCATATCTCCTAGCATGGAAGTGCGCGTCTCATGCCAAAAGGAGTAAGAATGCCTTCTGGAATGGATTAAAAAACAAGCAAACAAGAAATAGTGGTGCTGAAAATTAGAATTCATAAGTTTAACTAGAACACTTCAGAATAGATTTTTTTTATTTGTCTGTGGCACAGACACCTAAGGGGATGAGAGATCATTTTGGTGCATGGCACAAGAAAAGGACCTTAACTGCAGGTAACTGACCAGGATGAGCAATCCTGACTGTATCATCCTGGTGGAAGGGTGTCAGCAGTCATTAGGCAGATACCTAGGGCAAGGGTGGGTGAAATGAAAGAACTATCCTGAAGGTGAAGGTGTAGAAAACTCCTGAAAATACTTTCTCTGGTCTCAGACATTAGTTTTTTCAGCCATGCATTACTGAAATTGAGGAGCACTAATTACTGGGTTTGAGGCCCAAATTGGGCACTTAACTGTGTAGTCACTGTCTTACTGTGGTATGACTTAAAAGGTGATTTCCTTCGAAACTGTTAAGTATGTGAGGAAGGGTCTTTTTGTGCAGTTATGGTGGTTCTTAACTCTTAAACAGAAGGGCTTTATGGGGGACATATATTTATATTAATACTAGTAAATTAAGCAATTTGCAAAAGCCAGAAGGCACATTTAAGGCTGTTGTATTTTCTTTTTTTTTAAACAATGCGTTTTTTTAAAAAGATTTTCTATTTATTTTTAGAGAGAAGGAAAGGGAGGGAGATTGAGAAGGACAGAAACATCAATGTGTGGTTGCCTCTCACATGCCCCTTACTAGGGACCTGGCCTGCAACCCAGGCATATGCCCTGAATGGAAATCAAACTGATGACCTATTGATCCACAGGCCAACACTTAATCCACTGAACCACCCCAGCTAGGGCAAGGGTATTATATTTTCTAAAACATTTATAGTTTTTCACTCATATTATAAGACAAGTAGAAAAGGATAAGCAACACATCACTGTAGGTATTTATCATTTAAATTTTTTCCTGACCTATTCATCCATTTATGATCAAGAGACTCTGTGAGAAACAGATATTTTAATCTAATAATTTTTACTTGTGATATATAAAAGGGAGAAATGTACATGTCTCATCTTCCTTGTGAGATGAAACCTCCAAGTTTTTATGATTAGAAGAATCTTCAGTGGATTATGACTTCATGGATATTTTCTAACTTATCATTCTGATTCTGGTGTAATGTTTGACGGTGATGCTCATGGCAAACCAGGATGAGATTATCCTTGTAGGTCGTCTACACCCTCTTCTCTTTCTCAAAGATTTTTGTTTCCCCCATAAATTGATTTCACTAAAAGAAAAAGATGAGTTTTGATTAGAAGGGAAAAGCAAATGTATCATCAGAGAGAACACCATTCTCTAGAATGTGATTTGAAAAGATGTGTAGATGGACCACCAAGGTATCATTCTCATTAAAGTTCTGCCATACCCCTATAGAAGAAGTGCTACAATATAAATATATCTCATGTATTCATACTTATTAGATTCATTTAACTAGGCTTATCATGCGAAGATGTATTAATATTTTTTCTGTTAATTTTTCTCATGTATTAGTACATCATTAGCAGATTTGAATTGGACTAAATCTTCCAAAGATGCCAACTGCAAAAATTCACTCAGGTGGACAGATGCCTTTCTCAGCTCTGTGCATCCTGTTCTTATTACTCCTTTGATTTCTACAGCAGACTTTACTCTTGGGATATTTTCCAAGTTCATTTTTTAAATTAAATTTTATTTACTTTGAGCTAAGCTGGAAATCTACTTACTTTGAAGAAGAGACCTTATTCACATCTCATTTTGTTTGAAAAGTCATTTTTTATGATATAGAAGTTATTTGGTAATTGAATAATTTCAAGTTATGTCTGTTCTTTCCACATCTAATGATTCATTCTAAATTCCAACCTGTGGAAAACTGATGCAGAATCAGACATTTGATTTTTTAAATGGGACTCATGATTCTTGAACATGTGGATTTAGGAACTAAGATGTGCATCTAGAAGTATGGTGGTATCTTAAAAATATATTTTCTCAAATAAATTATAAATTTTCACTTTTATCTGAAAAAAAAGGATGTGTCATAAATTTTACTCTTACAGTGTCTACTCTTAGATCAGAAAATCATGGCAATATTTCAATGAAAGAAACTCCCTGTTTTAACTCCTTTATTTAGCCAGTTCTGGAACATAGCATTATCCAAATTTCTTAATTCCTTTTGGCACTGCTTTTTCTTTAAGGGAGTGAACTGTGTCCAGAATCATTACTGTCAACCAGTGTGTAGTTCAAGACAGGGAGGAGTTTATTGCTTTTATCTCCCAGGAAGTTCATGTGCTGAGCCCAGGCAACCCAAAATTCTAGAATAAAATAATTAATTAGGATGAAAAGGAGTTAACATTCTCCCACAATTAATATTAATCTACTAAATAAATACTTTTCCCATACCATTTTGCTCAAGACACCATGCACATCATGCCCCAACTTTTACGCATTTTTATGTTTTGCACATTCTTATCCTAAGACTTGTCTTTTAACATCAACTGGTGCTGCATGTGTGAAGTTGACTTCATCAAATAAACATGATATGGTTGTTAACTCAGTTGCAACAAAGTTCAATTATAGTTCTAATATCATTTTAAAAAAGTAGAATAGGGAATGTATGTTTAAAATTCTTTGAAGAGAAACTATATGTGTGAGAAAAAGTGAAACTGAAATTTAAATCTCCCCAAGAATAAAAAAAGAGAGACAGAGAGACAAAGAGTGAGAAAAACAAAGCACTAGACTCTGAGACTGTTATGAAGTTCATTACCAACTCAGCTAGGGATGAGCACAGTGATTGGGAGTGTGCATAGTGAGCACAGTTTAAAAAAGAAAACAATCTCAATGACTTTTATTTAAAACCATGCTATTAAACTTCATTCCAGCTTCACTGCCATTAACTCTACTTCAAAATTCAATGGTACAATTTAAACAGTTCATATTTTACTCAATGCCAAATGTTTCTCAAACTGGTCTTTTTCTTTTAATTATAATTGCAAGCTGATCAAAATGAATTTTTTGAGTCATGCAGAGCTACTTACACTTCTGTTGGCATAATTCACTGAGGGATATAGTTAGATGTCCCATTTCACCAAGTGGGTAATAATTCTTCCTCTATATCTGAATTATAATGAACCCACTTAAAACCAACTCTCAATGTGCGAAACTACTAAACACAATGGGGCCCTAAAAACACGCTTTTGGCATCAAAATTAATGGAAGTTTATAATGCTAATAAATTGCTTCATTAATAATTGAGGCTGATCTTAAAATCTAGGACATAGCTTAATTGCTCCAGCTTAGTTAGTTTCTGATGGATGTTAGCCTGATCAGTTAACAATGGATATAGACAAGTAAAGATTTATTTTTCCCCATAGCAGAAACCACACATCTCCGTCAGTCAGGTCAGGTAAAGATTTAACAGGAAAATATATTATGAAGTCACTTTCTTTCATTGAAAACAAGTCAAGATCTTATGTCAGTTTTTTGATTTAAAAGTAAAAGGGTGAATGCAATCAAGCTATTACTGATGAATAAGACTTACTTGGACTTCCTATGTCCATTTGATAATACATGTAAGATATTCCCAGGAATGGGAAAGGCTGAATGGCACCTGAAGTTTTCATTCATCCAACAAGCATATATTGATTACTTACTAAGTTTACAGAGATGACAATGACATGAGTCCCCCATATATGTTGCTTATGTTGGTTCAGCCTGCAATGCTTTACATTACTTGCAGCTTAAATTCTAAAAGCGAATGAACTTACAGTAGTAATCAAGTATAAACTTAACACAGTGTGTTTAGCCAGGACTTTGTAATATAGGCGCTAGAGTAGAATTCTGGTTTCAGTAGACATGTCTTCCTCTAAATTCACTCATGACCTGCACTGGGTGGATTTTTTTCTTTGCTGAGCCTCGTCTGACAGCTGCATATGTTTCTTCTGGATTCTCTCTTTTAATCAAGGGTTTTTTCGCAGGAGCCTTCATTCTCCACATCACGACTGGGTGTCTGGGCCCCGCAGGACTCTGAATTCGGATGATCTTGGTTGAGGCGATGTAAGACATTTTCACTGTTTGCACTACAGCATTCATTAAATTTTTGGCTGCTTGGATTAGGGAGGTGACACTGTCCAGCTGTAGAAAAAAAAAAGAAATATAATTCAAGAGTGCAACCAAGATTTAAAGAGGCTTAATTATTATTGAAACTGAAATGTTTCACTGTTTTTGTACCAGAAACAAATGAATTAATTCCCATTATATATATATATATATGTGTGTGTGTGTGTGTGTGTGTGTGTAATTATCTACATCAATCTATACATCTGTCTTTGAGCATTTACCTGTTTATCTTGTGCATATCTTGTGCATATTTTATCTTTTAAGATGATATGTTAGATTAATTTATTTCTCTTGTTTGTCAGTGAAATGGATTCTATAAGTTCTATATAATATTGTCAGGTCCAGAGGCTCACTGTTCTCTTTGTAATGGATCTCCCTGTTTTCAGGAGTTGATACTGAGCCCTTTCTCTAAGAAATGACTGTCCACAATAAAAGCTGTATTGTATATAAGTGAATATATAAGAACAACAACTGAAAACTCCTCCTCTCAGGGAATTTATAGTTTAAACTAAATAGCATATACACATATGAATATACACACGCATGTATACCACTTACTTTCATGAGTATCTCCCAAGTAGTCTTCCCTGAAACAATCCCTTTATTAAACACAGAACTTTTCAATGTATCATGCAATGTGTTAAAGTAGAAAATGCCAAGGCTTAGCAAAGTTGAGTTTAAATTCCAAACCTGCCATTTGATAACTTGGGCAAATCATTTAACCATTTTTCCCTGGTTTTCTCAGATATTAAATTGGAAAAATACTTATTAAATTTAAATAACATGGGTAGAGAACTAATAGAATGACTAACAAACAGTTGATTATTAGTAAATATCATTTCCTTCTTGTGAGAACTGACAAATTGCTTAATTATGAAGATACGCTAATGATATTACTGAAGGAAATCTTTTCTCACATGAATCTGTTTTTAATTGTTATATTGCCTGGGCTGCCTACAAAATAATCTCAGGGAAAAATGGGGCACTATTCCTAGGATCTTGCAAAAATACCTTAAGCTAAGCCAAGTTGATTCATTTTTATACAACTAATGCATCTTCTATTATTTTAGTTTGACAGATTGTCATCTACAACCTATTCACAGAGCGAGCTATGCCTTCTTAGTTGCCTCCTAGTGATGGGTGCTGTCAGGGCCAAAACTCAAACACCAGCACTGCAGTTACTAAAATCCATCAGTAGCCGCCCAGCCTGAGTACTCTACCTTTGCAGGTTGCAGACTCTCATACAGAATACATGAGTGAAGAAAAGTAGTAAGCTCAGTTATGTGCCTAGGGCAGTGGTCTCACTGGCTGCTTTCCAGAAAAAAAAAAATTAGCTCCATTTTATGCCAAGCCTGAAATTCTTTGAAAAGACAGCAACAAAAACATGTAATTTGAAAGGCAGTACTACCTGACAACTACACATCTTTAAGTCTTTTTATGTACTGAAGCCAGAACGTAGAATCTGTGCATGTGGCAGGAATGACAAATGTTTTGCAAACATTAAATAGGATTTCATGAAGCACTCATGTGTTTCAGGGACTTAGTGCTTCCAAATCTGTTAAAGAATCAAAAGAAACTAGACTGTGAACAGAATAACACACTTTGTCATTAACATTACTGTAAGACAGATTGAAGACTAAAATCTGAACTTTTAATAATTAGTGATTTTCATTTAAAACCTCCTGGATCTCATTTGGATTCTGAAATTGTTTCCAATCTCACCATAAGAAGAAGAAAGTATTTTCTAAATCGTGAGTTAGCATGGATAGTACTGAGGATACTTGATACATTTCTCTCTCAAATGTGACAGTATCTGGTTTATGCCCAGGACCTGCTGTCACCATAAAGTCTGCCACAGAAGAGGTCCCCGGAGCCTGCTGGCATTCAGGACTTCCCCAGTAGCTTTAGCTCTCTTACCCTAAAACTTGCATTCTCTAGTCCTCCTCTTGACTTATTAACCTTGTCATGTATAGATTACATTTATTTCCTTACCTGTTGACTTTCTTTGTCATATCAGTGGTATGTGTAAAACCAGTGGCTTAAAGAGGCTGCTTCAGTGCAATCCAGGCCTTAAAATGTGGGAAGTGCATTATCTTCTTTCCTCACTGAATCAACAAAGCCCTGTTAGCACTGTTGGGATCTTTTATGCAGGTCTGCGGCAAGGGCTTTTCTTTTAAAATCCTAAATGGCCATAGTAAAACTTCTCTGGGTGGCAATAAATAAATAAATAAATAAATAAATAAATAAATAAAGCAGGACAAATTATCCATCTAGGAAAGCATGAAGACTAGTTTTGCAGAAGGTTAGGGCAATTTCTACAAGAATACTGTTATTTCATGAGGAAAGCCTGTAAGACATTCTGTGAGATCTTTGCATCTAAGAGCAACGTGTGCTGGATGTGCGGCTCTCTGCTATTAGCCAAATCACAGACGAGCCAAGCAATTGGTAGGGAATTTTGCTGGAGGCCCCAGAAATGGCTCCTACCTACTCAAAGAAAATAACTGTGTAATTTTATGTCTGCAAAATTTATGCATATCCTTTTATCCAGGTCTACTTTCATGAAAAATCCTTCAAGACAAGGATTCAGTAGAAAGTGTCCTGTGAAATCAAAGGTGAATTTGAGTAGGGTAATGCATCTCATAGGGCCTCTGTGTTCAAGTTATTAAACAAAGTTTTCTGAATTTCACAAACACACCTGTGTGAGAAAAGAATATTAATTTACTCTAAGGACCCATGGAGTAAAGTAATCAGATTATACAACTCAGGTCCCCATTTTTTTACATTAAAAATTACATTCAAGGCCTGAAAATTCTTCTGGGCAAATGTGACTTTAAATGTTTACCACAGAAGGAGCCATTTTCCCTAATATTCATGACACTCCTGTCTGATCGATGTGAAATGTTCTTAATCAAGGTTTCAAATGAAGGTAAAAATGGCTTCTAAGGCCTTCAAACCTCCTAAAGTTAATGTGTAAATATGCATTTTCTTACATATAAGCAGTTTTCTATCTCCAGAAACTCCTATCATAAGGGGGGGCAAGGTTTTAAGTAACTTTTCAAAGAGGATTTTAACCTAATTTAAAGGTCTGTATCTTAGATAAATCCTTAAATAGGAAGATAGCCACTCTTCCTATGTCGGTGACCTGTGCTTATTCTTACAACCTGGTGTGGTTTCAAAATAACTGAGCTTATTAGTATATCAATAACACAGTAGGTTTCTCAACATTGTCTATAATTCACAGGTGGCCATACAAGGCCTGTGGGGTGAAGCTGGCCCTCCACCTTGTTTTATTCAGCAGCAGCACCGAGCTCTCACTTAACTGTCCAGGAGAAGTTACCTTTATACAGCCCTGAAATTACACTGGGCCCTTTGAAGGCAACTGTGAGGCTGATGTGGCCCCCAGTGAAAATGAGTTTAACACCCCTGGATATCCAAACACATACTGGGAAGTTCTGCCTCTGGTTTTTTGTTTCTTTGTTTGTTTTGAGGACCTAATGAACATAAAGTATTATGTTTAGTAAGTTAGCTCTTACTTTAACTGCAAGATGTATTTGCCAACAACCCAAGTGATAACCATCTAAAGAGAGTCATACAGGAAACACAGTTTGTTTTATTGCAGTGTTCGTTCTATGATACGTACCCCGTGACTTTGGTAAAGCTACAGTAAAAATTTTCCCACTTCCAAAAATGTTTTCAGACAAAAGTCTCCATCCTATTTAGAGATATGTCTACAATCCTTTGCTACAGGAAAAAGAGTTTAACAACTGCAAGAGGTATTTTCTTTTTCCCCATAAAATGCCAACTTTTCCTCCATGTGACTAGTATATATAGAGCATCTGGAGCTTTTTACAAAAAGCAACACCTAATTTCTGCAATGTAAGCCTCGACAACTATATCCAGTCAGAATGTCAGGGGGAAGACCCTTATCAAAATCCCATGTTAATTATTGATAGTGAAGAGAAACATTGGAGAAAAAAGACATGTTAGTGTTTCATTTTTTATTTTCTAAGTTTCTCATCTACATTATGTCCGAAGAGCAGAATGTTTTATACTATACTATCCTAAAATCCCATATTCTGGACACAAGTCCCTAATTAGATATAATCTGATTATAATCAGATTATGCTTAAGGATAAGCATAAGTGAACCTCATGAGGATAAGGTTAAGTGAACCTCGTTCCCAGTGACGTGAATCTCATCTCCTTGCACCTGGGCTCTCATCTAGGGAAAACATAGTTTCCCAACCCCCGTGAGAAGTGCCCTGCCAGCTACTGCTGCTGGGACTCCTGTGGAGAAAAGCCTGATGTTGCCTGGAGAGATGTATTTCCTGTCCTCCAGCCTTCTCAGTAAACTGATGCCAAGTGTATCTTAGGCTATTCTTGTGAATTTCAATGTTTACCTGAACTGAAAGACTCCTGGGATCTTTAAACTGTACAAATGCAACACTTGAAAGGCAAATGTGTGGTTCCACGTACAAAGATTATGCAAATTGCTAATAATCTACTGTGTGCTTCCTATATGTTGGTGCTATTCTAAGCAGTTAACATAAATTAACTCACAGTAACTCTGTGAGGTAAATACTACTATTATCTCCATTTCATTGATGAGGAAACAAAAGAACCAGATGGCTCGGTAGCTTGCTCAGGATGATACAGCTATTAAATGAAAGAGCTGGAATTGGAGCCAAGAAATCTGGTTCAAATACCTGGTGCTCTTGTCCATTACACAACCCTGCCTCTCAGTGATACGTCACTGCCGATGTGTATTTATTTTCACATGTGAAATAGTTGGAGCAATCACATTAACATTAATGTAATGTCTAAAATTAAAAAATTTGACTACCCAATAACTGCTATGGGAAGGTTATTAAATTTTTGTAATGCACACTGGTAGAAAAATAAGGGTACCTTACTTGCCAAGGTATTTTCTATGGATGGTGGTTTGATAATATTTGTACTCCATCATTTTCAATGTGGCAATTTTTTTCAAAATAACATATAGAAATAGTCATATTT